ACTACTATTACTACTACTATTACTACTACTATTACTATTACTACTACTATTACTACTATTACTACTACTACTACAACTACTACAACTACTACTACTTACTAGTACTAGTGCTAGTACTAAGCTGTGGATTTGTGCCTATTTTTTCCCTTCAATGGGAAAACACAATATTTTATGCTACATGTTAATTTTGAGACATTAGGAGTATTATATGCGCATTTATGCTTATAAATGTCTATTTCACTAATAAATGTTTGTTTTGTATTTAAATGCTTAAATGTTGCCTATTCTCGTATTTATCGATCAAAATGCAATTATCCTTAATCAATTTATTTTTAGTGTACTTTTTTCATTTTTATCTTGCAGATTGCAGAGATATCAAACTATCAATAAATCTGTTTTGTTTTATTACCACCATAATGCGAGTATTATGTATTACGAAACACATCCAAAATCTCTGGTGGTAGTTATAGTATTTTTTATTTCAGAATTTTAAACAATTTTTTCTCAAAAACTACTCCTAATTTTCTGCTCGTATGTATCAAAATATAGTATAAAAATTGTGCCAGTCCATTTTTCGCAAACTGTGTATTTTGAAAATTGCACAAAGGGAACATTGCAAAAGTACAGTATTGAGTAGAGAGCTTCTTGTCTTAAATGGAAAAATGTTCTAAAAAATTACATGTTTAAAAAAGGCTGTGTATAATTTTCGTTTTTAAATGAGTGGTTTTTGCAGAATTTCTGCTTAAATTTCATGCAAATTGTAAACATTATTAACAAAACCCTCTACTAATATTTGGGTCAATTTTTTTTTTTTTTTTCACGGATAGAACAAGGGTCACTTAAGAGTGGCACATGTCTCATTTTTGTTAAACTCTCTGAACATTTAAAAATTGCAAATTTGGAAAAATAATTTTAGATACAGTTGTATGCTCTTCTAAAACTACTAGTTACAACATTTGTTATATGCATGGCGATTAAAACAAATAATTCGATATTTTCACTTATGGTTAAATTAAATATGAGAAAAAGGATTATACTGTTCAGCATTAGAATATCAGCTTGCATAAACAGAAAGCAAAAAGGTAGCTACTACAATTCAGTCTTTTTAGTCCAAATTGCCCAACAATGAAAGAAAGGATTTCTACAAGGATTTGTCAGAACAATGATGAAAGCAAACGTTTCATGAAGGTAACTAATGATGATTAATTCAGAAACCTTCTACTCAAGTACGTAAATAAGGCTAAGAAAAGTATGTAGTACCTTTTTAAATGCCAATTTTCCTGCTTATTTCTACAGTTTTTTGTGTCTATAAATCCAGAATTAAAGTGTTACTACTACTGCTGCTAATACTACTTCGAGTGCTATGATGACTTTTGCTGCTTCACTTACATTTACCTCAAGTTTAACTTTTAAGCACTTTCTAAAAGTAGAAGATTATTTTCTGGATATAGGAGTTCTGATTCTTCCAATTGTAATACCTACATTTAGCCAGGATGCATTTTATCATTCATACAAATTGAATGTGATTTATGCTTCTCCATTGTTGAGACTGATGTATTTTATATTTGCATCTAAAGATTTTCTTTATTTTATATGAACATTGTGCATAACTTCTTCAGCATCTGTGTACTATGTGTGACTGCCGATCCCGGCTGGAAATGTTTGGGGTTGTAATGTCATGTTTATTTTTATATCAGGGGGAGACATGGATCCCACAGAAATTGAAGACCTCTTTGAAGAGCTTGAGGACCTAAGCGACTCTGGCCCTGAGCTGGACACCATGAGCATCTCGTCCACTCCAAAGCCTTCGCTGAGACCCTTCTTTGCCAGCAGCAGGTCCCTTCTGCAAGAAACACTCAATGTGCCAGGTACGTGTGGTAGTCAGGCACGACTTTTTCTCTTGACGCCTTGCAGGTATGCAGCCTGAAATGAGTGCTTCTCAATATGTGAGTTTTGTTGCATTGTATTGCATTACTTGTTGTGGTATTCGGTAGTGTCTTTTTTATCTTTATATTTTGATTGGTGTTATCTGTTTTTGAATTTACGCCAACTCTCTACACTTTCTTTATTGCATTACCTTTATTTGACAAATTCACTGGAAAAATTTGGTATCCATAGAATATCTTTTGAAGTATGTAAAACAATGAAGCTGCTTCTTATAAGTGTGCAGAATTCTCATTGTTTACTATGTGGCAATGAAAGTACCCTTAAGTAAATCATGAAGTAACAGTAATGCCATTACAATGAATTAATTATCAGAAATTTTATTTAAACATGCTGGTTTTATAAACATTGATAAAGTGTATCTGTGAAGATTACAATAATAATATAATTTGCTTGTCAAATCATGCATGGGGAGAATGATAATCAGTTTGCAGTTGCATTGTGTGGCCATTTGTTGCTTGTTGTTGTGATTGGAGCAAGCTCAGAGCCGAGGCTTGTGCCAGATGCTGTATTTGCCTGTGTTTGCTGTTGCTGATGTTCGGTTGTTGTGCAGGCGGCCCCCAAGCGTATTCTCGCATCCGGACGCAGGAGCCAGTCAACAATGGCGCAGGTCAGGACAGAACCCAATAGATATTTAACAGTGGACAGATTCTTCATATCACTTGCAGGAAGAGATACCATATATCTTAATCTAATGCTGGAAAATGGATATAATCAGATGAACAAAATATAATAAAAGTTATTTTTTTTAATGATTTCAAGTCATATTATGGTGTTGTTAACAGAAGCAGTTTTGGAGAGGGAATGGAGGAAAGTTCTCGTGACTAATTTTTTTCAACTGAATGGTGTTAAAAATGTTTGCTTTTATGTTTCAGGGAAAATATCCAATTTTTGAGTTGATAACTATGAGGATATTTATTTTAAGAGTTTTTAACCAAAGCTTGTTTTAAACTATTCGAAAACAATCGTAATCAATTAAAGTCATTCTGAGGAGTAGCCATGTTACAAACACTTTATAAAAGGAGCTAGTTGCAACTTAAATTTTTAGTATTGAAGCTTCCAACTGGATGAAAGTGCTCTATAAATTTTAAACTGTGGACTTCTCAAAATTGTGGGTGCTGCTAGCTTTAGCCTAAAGCTAGCAGTGTTCTTCTACAAAAAATACAATCTCCTATAATTATTGATAGTTAAAGAATATGTGTCAACAATTAAAGCCTCTGGGGAAAAAAATTCTAACCTATATTTTCAAAAGTCAGGGCTGGGTCTGTACAATGAGAACAGGTAACATACGTGCTTATCGTCTTATATTTGAAACCTCAAAAACTTCAGGGAGAGAAGGGAGGGAGAGAGAGAGAGGAGACACCTCAAAAGCTTCAGAAAACAGGAAACTGTACTCAAAATGAAAGACTAATTTCAGGCTCTAGAAAAAAAATTGTTCCAATCCATATTTACATCCAATTACAGCTTCACTAAGAAAATGGGTAACATACGTTTTTACATCATAATAGCAGTAAGAACATAGGTTACCTACAATTACCTATAACTTAGGTTAGGCTACAATTTGTTAAAAATGGGGAATGTGCACCATAAACAAACTTTTTGTCTTTTTAATTTCTCGTATATTTATATATACAGAGTAATATAATTAGTATAGAGAAACTTAAGTAAAGCTACATGAAATTAATTTCGAAATTCTAACGGAAATACACGTTTTGTTGTCCCCTGATATCGAAAAACTGTTTGTTTTTTCCAACAAAACGTCCGTTTGTTCATGAACGCCACCAGCTAATCCACTTGAGGAGACGCAATTTTGAAAAACTTTCTTTGATATTTGGGGATACTTCACATGAAACTCCCAAGACATTTTCAAACTTTTCTCAAAAACGGCTCCAAATTTTTTCTTTAAATTTCTTGTAAGAATATGGAAAAATATAAAGGTGGCATAGGTCCGGGTTTCAGGTTTAACTCCGAATTTTCGAAAATATCAAAAGTTTGAATTCTTTTCTCTGTCTTCCTACAACTAAAAAATTGAAGACAGAGATTTTTCCTTCAAATGAAATTTGTTCTGCATATTTAGTTCTTTCATTGAGATGATATACATTTTTTTGAAACATTTAGTAGTTTTCGCACAATATTGCAGGCAATTTTTGCAATATTTAAAATTTACAAAAACAAGATTTTTCTCAAAAACAGCTCCAATTTTTTTCTTTTAAATTTGATAGGGATAGTGCTAAATGTACTCTATGACTCCATATGACATAAACACCATTTTGCTCAATTTTTTTTTTTTTTTGAAAAATTACAAAAATATCCTTTTTTGGACTTGTCTCTCTCATTGTTTATATTTACATTAGTGGCCATTTGTTCACATTATTATATTTTCGAGTACTTGTACTTTACATAATGTCACATAAAGTTTTATGAAGATAAACTCAAAATTCTACATTTTCAGAAATGCTCAAATGCCAATTTTTCAATAACGGCTCCAAATTTTTTCTTCAAACTTTTCATAAGGCTAGAGCTAATTGCACTTTTCAAGATGACATAAAGTTCTTGTTGGGATATTCTTTCATTATAAAAAAATAGACTAATGATAATTTTTTAAATATCTCTTCAGCCTTTTGCAATTCTGTTTTAAAATACTTCAAATGACTTGAAATAGAGATTTTTTCAAAACACAAACATTTTCTGTGAAAATGAGCTTTAAGTTTTTCTTGTTTGTTATTAAAGGTCGCATCAACATCTAGGTCATTAGCAACCACTATTGCATTTAACAGTATGACAACTGTAAAGATGAAATGATATGGTGATGATAGGGGGTAAAAGGACGAACACAAATATGACCATGCCCAAGTATGCCCATCCTTCTGTTTGAGATCGCTACGGCACTACTGCTTTAATGACCTCGGCCATCCGGACTGGCTTTGCATATTTAGTAAGCCATAAAGTTCATTTTCTTAAAAACGACTGTAAATTTTTCACTGAAATTGCCATTTTAGATGAGGTTTTACTCTTCTTTACTATTCTGAAAATAATATTTCGTTTCCGCTATTAGAAAGCAGAAAAATTGAAAAAATATATACTGTGCAATAATTGAGATTTTTTTAAACAAGTGCATAATGTTATATTAAGTTCTAGAATTAAATTAAATAAGCAGAAAACATCAAAACCACAAGTATATCTTTAAGAAATGGCTTGGGAAGTTGGGTCATATCTTAAAATTTCAAATAGCAAGGATGAATGCTGAATATTAGATAAGTGTGTAATATGTCTGTGGAAAAGTTAGACAATTCTAAATGGGACTATGGCAAAGAAATACTGGTGTACACCTTGAAATAAAAATGAAATGTACTACATCATAAAGTTACTGAAATTATTTTATAAAAATGGCACATGTGTTAACTAGTCACTGTGTTTACACACAAATCTTTGATTGTAAAAACATAAGAAAATTCTCTATATTGGCTTTGCTAACAATAACTTTACACTCACATGTTTTCTCAAAAAAGGGTAAGTCAGATGCTGCCAGTAAGTAAAACACACACACACAAAGCAAAACCACAACTTACAGTGAAGTTATGAACAAAGGACATATATTATTTGATTTCCTGTGTACAGATCTGCCTTTCGGAAAATATGTGGTGGAAGATTTTTTTCAAGATATGTGTAATTAGGCTATTGATTTTAATTGGGTATAATTTTTTTGAGTTTTTATGTTTATTAGATATGTATATTATATCAGAGTTAAGAAATTGCACTTACTTTACTTTGTACAACTGTGAATTTTGGAAAATAAAGACTGAGATATTTTTTTCTATCATGCCTACATTTTTTTAATTAGTCTTGAGTTTTATATTGTTCGCTAGGATTTTGAGATTTGACCCACCAGAATGTATGTTATATGTTTCCCTTTGTTCAGCTCTGATTTTTGGAAAACATTGGCTGGAACATTTTTTCCCTAGAGCCCAAGATTAGCCTTTAATTTTGGGTAGGGTTTCATATTTTTTCTGAGATTTTTTGAGTTTTGTGATATATTAGCTCATAAGAACATTAACTGTTTCTCTTTCTTCTGCTCTGACTTTTGAAAAATATGGGCCAGAACAATTATTTTCCTTGACTAAAATTAGCCTATCATTTTGGATGCACTTTTGTTGATTTGCAAGTATGAGAAATTGTATTTTCTGGATGGACACTGCTAGCTGTAGACTAGAGCTACCAGTGTCCGTGATTTTGAGATCCACCAGAGTCTAAAATGTGGAATAGAGCATTTAATTAGCCTTTAACATTGGATATGCTTTGGTTGAATTCAATTTTTGGCCCCTGCTAGTTGTAGATAGCTTGTAGTGTCACAATATTTAAATTAGACTACAGGCAAGGGTCATATGGGTGGAACTCTGTTGCACAGAGCAGCAGGTGGATGTGTTTCAACTATCTGGGTTCCCAGAAGCTACAGGAAAATCAAACTGGTAGTTCTTTTTCTGTTGGTCGATCATATGTTCACACAAGTAATCTATTTTTTGCGTGTAATGTGAAGTATGCTTATTCTCTGCAATTGGTTTGTTTCCTTTTAAGAAACATACACAAGTTACTTCTGTTTTACCAAACAGATTTGGTTTTATGGATTTATGAAAAAACCAAATAATTTCTCTTCAACTTAAAATGATGTATATTTTTTGAACTCTTATACATATGATTTGAGTTTTTATTTTTATTTTATTAAAAAAAAAAAATAATAAAAAAAAAAGTTTACGTTTTGTGATTATTTTGCAATTGTCAATAGGGCAGATGATGTCAAGAATGATTTTTGTATTGGTTATCATTTCATAAGATCATTGTAGTGAATTGTGGAATTGTGGAAAAATCTACATTGTTTTTGTATTTTATTTCCTATTCTTGCGAACTAATTGTTTGTAGGTAGATTACAAAACATGTTTCAAAGACATAGAAAATGGTAACTCATGACAGGTCATTTGCTCACTGCCCAGTGCCAGAATTATTTTGTAGTTAAGTAAAATAAATTTTGATTGCTTTAAAATCATTTAAATATTTCCAAGCATAAAATTGTCAAAAAAATAATCATAAAAGAAAAGGGTATCCAACTGTAGAAGTTTCAAGCATGAAGGAGATCAGGAGAGAAGTTGTGAAATGAAAATATGATGATATTGTATAATTATCTTCATGTGTACCTGGCATGGCTAAACAAGATAAAATTCCAAAAATGCTGCGAGTAATGAGAATATTGATTCAAAATGTATATTGAGATATAATTGTATTATTATAATACCATGAGGAATGTTCTATTGATGAAACCAAATAAAATTAGTTTAATTACGGAAATGTTTTTACGTTAGTACGTTACCAAATGTAATAGTTTCATTACGGAAATGTTATGAAATTAATTACGGAATTATGTTCTCAGAAAGTGCACTTCTGAGACTACACTCGCTTGTCCTTAGTAACATTCAAATACATTTTCTTTATATTAAATTTACTGAAACATTTCGTGGGAAAATATATTGCACTCTATATGGTAATTTAGGTATCTGAAGTAATTCAAGTTTCAAGATGAAAACGTAATGGAATAGGTAAAACCTAGAATATTATTTGTCATTTTATATATTCGGAGAAAAACATGTTTATAAGGTTCAATGTCAGTGTAAAGTTGTGTGTTTAATAAAACAAACAAACATTACAATGATATAGAATTTAAACAATTTGGTTTTACTCAGAATATATTAAGTGAACATCATTCTGGTTTCCACCTATTCAGTCATGACATTGATGAGCATAAGGGTTATTTACTTTTTGTGATTTATTTGAATGGTTTGGCAGTGTATCACTTACATGTGGCCACACTACTTATGCTATTATTCACTTTATCAAATGTTCTTTCTCTTGTGATATGAAGAATAGAAGTTCTGCTATTGTTGTACTAGCGCAGGCTAACCCTCTCACTCTGGCTGCGCGAGCACATGAATGCTGCACTTGAGGTAACACTGGGCACGAGTTGGCCTTGTTTTCTTTGAATCATGTGTGCATTGTGTTTCAACTAGTGCAATATTTAATACAAAAATTTCATTGTACTTTCCTAATTAAATTTGATTTGTGTACTTTTTTTCTCACTTTCTTTTATGGAGCCTTCTCTCTTAACAATATTCATGTTGGTTCTTTCGGAAGAGATATAAAAAATAAACTTAAAAGTGATGAAAAAATTAATAAATATGAGCATGTGGTAAATATAATTTAGAAAGCAGAAAATATGTTTGAACTCGCCTTACTTCAACTGACAAATCACTCTTTCAAAAAAAGAAAAGAAGGTTTTGTTTAAATACGTATCTTATCTTTTTGTTTTCTATTTGTAGATACAAATTTTATTCTTTAAAATTTTTTCAAGGTTTAAAACAAATGTTCAAAGAAATTAGGAAGATTACTTACCTGACTTTTTAAATATGAAGCGTTTCCTTATTCAACTACTACCATATATTTCACTTCAATCCCTTCTATATATGAGTGTAAAAATTCTATCTTATTTCATCTTTCTTGAAGTGTATAATTATTTCAAATTATTTTTGCAAGTTTTTTTGTATATATTATTTTTGTCTTAAGAAATGTGAAGACAGTAACTCATTAACAAGTTAGTTACTATGAAGTTTGAATTTGTGTATGTCTAAATTGTAGGCATGTTTATTTATAATTCTTAATGACAAATGATTAATTTTTTAATGATAGTATTTTCTTTATGCTTCATTTCTATTGTATAAATAGTTCTTAACAACTACATTCTGTGGTGAATGCATTGCTTCCAACAGCTTTTGGAAAGAAAACTTCTTTTAACCAGTGCTGCTTCATCTTTGTTCAAATATTAGATGATAAACTGTTTTTGTTTTAATTTTGCTCATTATATCAAAGTAAATTATTGAAAAAACTATGTAAAGTTAATAAAAACTAATGAACAAATACAATTGTTTAGAGAAAGGACAAGATCGCCTGAGCGATGAAAGTTCAAAGAAAGCTGATTCGGATTCACATCCAGAAACTTGGACTGACCATGAACATAGTGATCCCCAGCAAGCAGCTGGATCTCCTCCGAAAAACTCAGAGGAAAAAAACAAAGTGAGACAAATTGTCATTCATTCTTTTCACAGAATGCATTGCTCTTTGCCATGATTAATAGTCTGTTGTTTTCTAGGATGGAGGGGAACGTGAACGTAAAAGTCGTCTTTTCCAAAGGGATCGAAATCCATCTGCTGGAAAGAACAAGAAGCAAGCTGAGAAGACCCTGAGTTTGGAGCAGAAGTCAATTGCTACAACTCCTAGTCCCATTCAGGGTGGTGATTCAGTTCTTTCTGAAGTGAGTAGAATCCACATTGTGTCATTGTTGTTTCAGTTTATCAATGCATGTGGAAGAGCAGGTTTCTTTTTAGAAGAGAAAAGGAAAAAGAAAGATTGTTTAAGGAACTAAAATGAAATACTCCAAATTATTCTGTAGAGATGCAGACATAATTTTCTTCCGGGAAGGAAAGGGAGGAAAAATGAAACAGAGGAGAGGGGGAAATAATTTTTTGTGAGCAATTTCATAAACTAGCGCAATAATGATCAAGGGCAATAAGTTGGACCTAACTAATAGAAAATAAGTAAAGTTTTTCTTAAAACTATATGTTCGCTGTTAAATTTAAAAAGAAAATTTCTTCTTCGTCTCCTTCGTCTTCTTCTGCGTCTTGGTCTTCTTCTGCGTCTTGGTCTTCTTCTGCGTCTTGGTCTTCTTCTGCGTCTTCGTCTTCTTCTTCGTCTTCATCGTCTTCTTCATCGTCGTCGTCTTCTTCTTCCTTTTCATCCACTCCTGAATATATCATTATATATTTTCTCATTTCTTAGGTGCTCTTTTTTTTCCCTTTGTTTTAATAATAACTGCTAATAATAAATGCTATTCGAATATTTCTTTAATGGCGTTCGCATTTCAGCTCACTTTCGTTGTGCTTCATGTCTCTTAAATTCCGTGTTGCTATGCTCAGCAGACAGTTTTTATGTTCTTTACATTGTAGTTGGAAGCCTCACCTTACATGCTTTGTTGGGACTTTTTATAATAAGTTGTTGGCATTTTTTTCCCCCCGATTCCTTTTTTGTTTAAGTAGTTTAGAATCTCATCTGTTGAGGATTTGCTAGTCAGATTACCTAAATAAATAAGCTTGCAAGATTTCTACTTCTTTGCTGGTGCCAACAATTGCTTTTGGCTTCTCTCTTGTGAATTGTTTGTTTTCTTGGTGTGGATCTTCTCTTCCGGTCTGTTGTAGTTGTCTTAGTTGAAGGTCCATTGTTTCTCTCTTTCTTTCATAGTACTTTTAGTGTTTCTTTACTTCCTTTGTTACTTAATCTTGTTTTTCTATTTACTATTTCTTGTTCCTCTTGGTGCTGTAATTCTGGTAAATTTTTGGTTGATGTGGTTAGCAGGATGGATTCCTCAGCCACTGTTGTATATCTGAGTGTGTTGATTTGCTTGGTTCTGTCTTTCCTTGACATCATTAATGTGACCGTTTTCTGTGATGTTTGTGTTTTGTATGACTGTTATTGTAGTGATCTTTCACTATCTTCTCTTTCTTGTTTTTCAACTTTTTTCTTATGTGCTTATATTGTTTCTTATAACCTTCCTGACTTATCCAGAATTTCAAATCTGTCTTCAGGTGCATCAGCACTTTTTGTAAGTCTGGTATTTGTTTTTCAATTCTTCAGTGTCATGCCATTTTTACTTTGTTTGCAAGATTGTAGTGATTTTGCTGTTTTGTCATAGCCACTTCAATGTTGTCTGTTTTAATAGTATTTTGCATCTTTCTGTTGGGTTGGTGCATTGAGCTTGGAAAGCCTTTTGCATTTGTCACTGCTCTTCATTTCTACATTACGTGTTTTGCTGCATATTGCATAATTAGACTTGTTTTTATGACCAAAATAAACCAATTTTGTAAAACAATCTTTATTCAGATTTGCACAACATACAGAGAATACTACCATAAACAAGCATAGTCGCAAAAATTGCCTGGAGATATGCCGGAGACTTGCCAAAACTCAAAAAATGTCCAATAACTTTGCTGTGGTTGTGATCCAGAAGCCAGAAGAGAAGTTCTTACACTTGCAGGCAGTGTCATCACTCACTATCACATTCACTAATACTCCTTATTGCTCGCACTGTTGCTGGGATGACCGCGGTTCTTTTAAAGGGACATGGGCGATCACTACAGTCTTCATTATACTTCTTTTCTTCTTTTTGTCTCCATCAGATGCTTTCCTATCTTTAGTAATTAGCAGGACTTGGATTCTGATGTCTTAAAAATAAAAGGAAAATGACCCACACACACAAAGTAAAGGGGGAAATGACCTAATTTTTTAAAATATGCTCAAAAATTTGTATGAAAATGTTTACTTATTAAATGAATGTTACAATTTTAAATAAATGTATTTATATAAAATTATGTTTAACACAAAATCTTTATTTTAGGATAAAATGTAATCCTTAACTCTGATCTTCCAACTGTCGCTTTTGAGAGGTCAAGGGGGGGAGGGAATATGTTTATTTATGCAGAAATGTAAGTGGTACACTCTTTTGGACTTTTCATTTAGCTTTTAGTATTTACTTTAAAAAATATTTAGGTAATAATAGATGATGATGGAGAAGATGCAAATTGTCAAATTCCACATTTCATTTGTAACATTAGTATAAAATGGTGTCATTAGATGTGTTATGTTCGGCAGCCACGGAAAGCCCTGCTGGAACAGCTGGCACGAGTGCTGCCTCCTGATGACCCTGGTCTGCCTGATCACGTCACATTGGTGAGTGGAGCTGATCCGGCTGGGGGGCTGTTAGCTGCTCGACTGCAAGACAGAGGGGCTGCCACTGGTCAGCACAAAGTTGTGAGCACCTTGGGGCCAGCTGATGTGCGTGCCACTGTAACTTGCCTTGTGGCCAAGATTCAGAAATTGTAAGTGAATTGTAATTGATAGTAAACCCATTAATGTTTTGATTATATCCTCACTTATATCATAAGTATCAATGTCCTTTTTTATTTTCAGCTGTAATACCAATGCTAAACCACCACCTGCCATGAAAGTTCTTTTGGCAGGTTCTGATAGTTTTGTTAATGCTGTCCTTAGGCATTATGTAGAACAATTTTCAATGAAGCCACCTGATTGGCAGTCTTATATAAAGTTCCTTATTGTTCCTCTTGGTAAGCAAATTTTCTGATAATATTTGTTGAAATATTATGTTATTTTGTAGGATCTACATAATTTCTTATAATACAATTTTGCATGTGTTCATTACATGATGATACATTGCTGAGTGTATTTTATGATGATACATCTGGAGTGTTAAATGTACAGGTTCGAATTCCTTGGCTCGATATTTGGGCACTCTAGATAGTGTTTATGCACAAGCTTTTGCTGCTGATAGTTGGAAGGAATTGCTAGAGAGAGCTGAAGTCCAAAAAACAGACTGTCAGGAAATGGTTAACAGGGTGCATAGATACCTCCATGCTGCCTCCGCAACCATCCAGTTACCAGTGGCTGAGGCCATGGTTACATACAAAGAAAAGAGGTAGATACTTGCATCTTTCATCAAAAATAAGTCTGTTTTTGTTTTGTAATATAAAAAGAATATTGTGTATTTTTTCAGTTCTGATGATGAGTCTTCCCAAATATTTATTCCATTTGTGAATGTAAGTAATAAAGTAAGAATATTTAATGTCTTACATGGTGTGAAATTACTTCAAGAAGAGGCTAATATTAGAAACGTTCTCAAATAACAGGATGTTCGGCTTGGATCTCCAGATGGGTCAGCGTCTGCATCAGTTGATTTAGATGAATCATTAAATGTGCCATTGCTGTCAGGATCTCCTCCTTCTCTCATCTCTGTTCCTGAGAAGAAAGAGAGGATTACCCCTCCTAGTTCACCTAATATCAATAGTCTTTACATTAGCCAAAACAAGTAAGTAATATTTCCTTTGTATTTTGAACATATAATTTAATTGATATTTTGAAATTATTTGAAAATGTGCTATTATCATTTTAAATAAAAATAATCATAAATAATAATCTCCAATGGGATTTAAACATTACCATGTAACAGTTTCACAGCTTGCTCCATGTTTATGTCTCAATTTCTCACTAATCAGAAAAATGTCAACATCAGAGAGAAGAATATTTGCACTCTTTTGTATGTGGTTGGAGGTGTCACTCTCTCCCATACTAGTTCTACATTGTTTAACAGTGAATAGAAAAGGGCCCCTTGAGGAAAGTATAGGTACTCTGTAAGAGAAGCAGAACAGCATGTCATAGCACTTTATCTCATCATGGATGAGTTAGCACAGGAACAAGCAATCAATCCTAAAACAATATCCAAATTTTTTCTTATATATTTTTACAGATTTTGTTCTGTAACACATTATTTGCAAAATTTTTTCATTCTATCAACTTTCTTGAAATTTATTTTGCAAAAATATTTAATAAATTTTCAAAAATATTAAATTTAATTTTTATTTAAAAAATTGTCACATTTTTCTTACACAAATTCAGAATTGCAAGCTGATGACATTTGGTACCCCATGTGAAGATGCGGTGAAATGCACTGTCTGGATTAACTTCGTACTGCAACGCCGCTAACAATATTACCTTTAAAGTTTAAAGTATTAGTAAGGTCGTGTTTCTGTATATTTAATCCAAAAACAATGTAGTAATGATTATTTACCAGTCAATGACTTCCCACATTTACGATGACTTTCATTGCTTTCATTAATTCTTTATAAAATTAATCCAGTAGGCCAACCAATATTTATTTTATAAAATTGTTTAATATATATTTTATTAACGTAATTTCAAGTTGTGTAAATTTATTGTGTTGGATTGTAAATGTTCTATAAATTTGATTTTACATATTTGTTACACATTCTTATCGTTTTCTTTACATATTTCGTGGTTTCATACTATATATATTTCTGGAATGTAATGATGACTGTACTACGTACTCTTATATACTCATATATTTCCCCATCTGTTATCTTATTTTCTTGCTCTTCATGAAAGGGTTAAGTTTTTGAAAACCACATTTGAACTTCTGAGGAAAGACTATGGAATGCCATTTCTCCCTTACAAATATGACTCCTACTATATATGTGATTTTCTTTTGAGTTGTAATTTTGAGTTATATGAAAATTGTGATATTTATCTGAAAGCAATTATTTCTGATACATGTATTGAAGCAAAAATGACATTGTAGAGAGCAAGCTCTTGCTGAACCCCTCGAACTTCAATTGGATTATTGGCTGGTGCCTGGAAAAGGAGGAGATGCTCCAGGCACTGGAAGCAAGACTGGCAAGACCGATTCCTCAAAGTCTACTCTTAAAACAACGTTCCGAGCTCTTCAGGTACAGCGTCTTCCATTACCTGGGGAGACTCCTACTCAACACTTCCTCATGAGTTACTCCACAAAAGAAAAGAAACAGAAGAGTGAGTACCTCAGTGTCCTTTGTGTGATTGTTCTTATAATTTCATTTTATTCACGTCACCCGTTTGCTTTTTTCAGTTATGCGGTTAGGAAAGAAGAAAGAGAAAGAAAAGGAAACCGAACCCAAAAGCCAAGTTGTGGAGGGTGTGTCCAGACTGATTTGCTCAGCAAAGACCCAAAACATTCCTCTGAAAGGTAAGTGCAGACTGTAGCGCTTTCATAAAGTATGTAGGATGGTTAAAACCCCGCGTAAGTTTGCTTTTCTGGGTGTTTGCTAAGTTACTGATCGGAAAATGTGTTGCCCTCTGTAGGACTTGCAAGAGTGCAGGGTGTGGGCTCTGTTGCAGTGTGGATCGATGGCACTGAGTGGTCAGGAGTGAAGTTCTTCCAGCTGTCAGCACAGTGGCAGACGCACATCAAGCACTTTCCAGTTAGCCTCTTCAACTTCCCAGAGGGCGGGATGTAACAGTTCCAGGCTGCGACTCGCTTTGGTTCCTGTATTGATCATCTGCACTGAGGCAGCCATCAGGTCTTCCAGGAGAGAGTGTGCAGTCACGTGCACCCCGCATGGACCCTGCTTCACATTCCAGTGGACTCAATTTATGCTTAATCCAGCATTTCCCTTCCTCTCTCCTCAGTAAGTTGTCCTCTATTAACTTATTAATCTCAATATCTCAAAAGTTTACTGTCATGGCAAACTTGCAAATGTTCAATGCAAATTATGCCATCAAGTGCTAATTTTTGTTGTGTCTTTACATTGTTATGAGTGTGATATCTCTTTCATATCTAGATACCCGAGAGCTGCTTATTGAAAATATTTCATCACAGTATTATAGTTCTTGCAAATCAATTTCTTTAATTTATTTGCTCAAGTGTTTCGAAAATTCAATCATAGGTTGCACACATCTCTTTTCTATGGAATGTCTGTCCTTAGCAAATATTACGTAAGATGTGATTGGTTGCAGTGTAGGTATTCTGTTGCAATATGTGGATGAAAATGTAAGATCTCACAAACTTGCTTGGTTTCCATTTTCCCTTTAATAATATGAAAATAATGATAACGAAGCTTTTGAATGTATCCTAGTCATGTATTCAAAATTAATGTGATTGTGATTCAGATTTCTTTCATTTAGCTATTTTACAGTAAAGATGAGAATTTGTTTGCTTTTGATTAATACATATTTGTAGAAACAAAGAAAAGTTAGTTATGGCAACAAAGCAATAATTTCTTTGAATAAAACAAAAAACAAAACCAGCTGCTGAACAAGAAATTGAAACTGTAGTTCTTGAAAAACATTACAGGTATAGGTAGCTGAGGGTTAACTGTACATCTTTGGCAAAATAGATTTTGAGCAGATCTTAATGCAAAGGGTTTGCTTTGAAACTTAAATTATCAAGAATTGAGCAAGACTAATTCAAGTATCTTTCAAATTATATTATTAAAAACTGCAGACGCTAGCTGTTTGTGAAACTTTTGGAATTGAAGTAGATAAAAGAACAATCGTAAAAATATTATATTAAAAAGGATATTGTTTTTACAATCAGACTGATAGATAAGCATTTGCTTTTGAGCTAGTTTTCAGGAAGAGAAAAATAAAATTTAAATTTATTGTTCTTATTAGAGCACATAATTATTAGGTATTAACAAAATAAATGTTTTGTTTATGTACTTTTCATAATTGTGATACTAATATTCTTGCATTATTAATGTGACAAATTGCATGAAAATGGCTGTGTAGAACATATGTTGACAGTATTCTTTTTTGCGTAATGAAAGAATTTAAACCTTGGAAAACTGGCCCAGTTTATTTTTTGAAGCAAATAATGTTAAGCTCATTTTTCACAGAATTTAAAAAAAATATATATGATAATGGGCTTTCGCAATTTTTATCAGAAGTTTTGCAAAAGATGGGACTGCAATTGAGTCTCCTCTATTGTATGATCAAGTGGACCTCCCCATTTAGAAGTGCATGGACAATACATTGCTTGCTATTATTCAATGGAAATGAAACTTTAAAAAAACGCAGTAGGCAGTGATAGCAGTTGTTAGCAGATGAGTTTGTAGAATCTTTTTTTTTTTTTTTGGATAGTTGGTCACAATGTGCTCACAGAGACATTTGTGATTTGTGTACATATGTTGGACAAATAATAAACATGAAGGGCAAACCTTTATATTATTTTATACCATATATTATACAGAAAAATAATATGTAATTAGTAGATCATAGAAAGTGAATGTTTGTCTGCACTCACTATTTTAAGGTATGGGACAATGCCCATTGTAAAACGTAAGACTTATTAGTCTTTATTATAAATACTACGTAAATGTATTATTTAATGTTTCCTTGTTCATCTATGTAATGCAACTTTCTTCTTTGATATTTCTAAAATTTAGAGCTTAACTAGTTATTATTGCAAGCAAAAGATGAATCTGAGAGGAAATGAAGATCATTTCAAAGTTGGTTACTTTTGTGTAGCAGGGGGGAGATCAAGAGCAGAAGAACAAAAACCAACCAGTTTTAACTAGCAAAGTAGAAGGAATTCACTAATGTGTAATACATTCTTATGAATTTAACAATAATGGTGAAAATATGTTGTCACACTTCTTTGAAATTTGTGTTACATATAATGTATCAGTACCAAAGCTCATTGATTATAATAATTTCTGCTCTTGCTGATACCTTTCCTCAGAAAAGCCAAAGACAATTGTTGTACCCTTCACTTCAGCAAAATGTTTGGCAGAAGTGCAGTGTTGTATTGTGATTTTTGGAAGTTCTTAAGAACTGTTCAATACTCAAAGTAAAATAAATGCTCTTGAATTCGTGTAGAATTATTGTTGTAACTTTAATGGTAATTGTTTATACATGTCATCATTGTAAAATATGCTGCCTTTTTTTAAATGCGTAAAAAGAACCAGCCATTCCAGAAGAGATTGTAACAATCTTTTTTTGTTGAGAGTTCCTGTATGTTTGCGAGTTATGTTGGGGTTTAATTTTTATTATTATTATTAAGTTCTAACAATACACGACAACATACAGGAATTTTTTATTCTAGATGACATTTGTATAAGTTGTAAACAGAAAAATCACTACTCTTGAATATGCTATATTGTGAATTGTGTGGAGTTGTGTCTATAAGTAATCACATTAAAAAAGTATGTCTTTTGTCTCCCTTCAAGTCATCCAGTTAACATAATTTTTTTTTTCAATACTTTCATTTTCGTGGATTGGAAATGAATTTTCATTATTCTGAATTGCTTTTTTTAATGAATTAGATGTTAGAGTTCCTTGAGTTTTTACAGCAATATTTCTCTAGTTTGCAAATTTTTGTATTGTTTCAACTTTCAGAAATTCCCTTCAATTTTCATCATCTTGTCAAAAAGCACCAAAAATGTTTCAGAAACAAATACAAGACTGCTTATGTGATAACAATGAGAAGGGTATTAATTTACATTTCAATTAACCTTTGCTACTAGTCATAAGTTCCTTTAATATGCAAAAATTATTAGATTGTGTATATGTGAATATAGCTCTCTCTCTCCTTTCTTTCTTTTTTCTTTTTCAGGAAAAAAAACAAAACAAACTTTGTTCTCTCCTTAGACGCGTTTTTAAGAATCTATGAAAATATTAATTCAGAATCACTGTTGGTGCTCTTTGTACCCTTTTATGCATTGTCCTTACAAGACAATTTCTATAGAATAGCATTTATGTTAACCAACGTAAAAGCTGACTTGTAAATCGTCAGTTGCCATCATAGAGAGAAACTCAGGCTTTTTCAAATGTGTGAGTAAACAAAACAGTCATCAGTATCAAATAAATTGTATTAAATGTACAGTCAAAAAACCTGAAGTTACACATTCATTTACCCAATCTTTTCCTTTGATTCTTGAGAACTTTCACTGTAGTTCCCAAATTACTATTATTTGTTACTTTAGATCTCAAACAACCAAGTGTATTTTCGTCATTTTGATCTCTCATCTCTCACTTTTGAAAATCCAATGCATGCAATATAACTTAATTTACTTAATTATGAATGGGTAAACCAAAGAATTCAAGAAAGGTGAAAGACAGGATATCTCGACTTCAATATCCCTTCATAATAAATTTTATTACATGCACAAAATATACAAAGTCAATAAGATAAATAAAGTGTACAACTTGGACAATGAGTGACAGTGCCTACCTTAATATTTCTTGGCACATTAATATTTTCATTGACCAAACACATTTATATTTCACAAAAGATTGAAGTAGCTTATTTCAGAGATTACAAAAAGTGTAGACAGTCATCAGGCACATGCTGATACTGCTGGCAGGCAGCAAAGTTAACAGATCCTATTATGTTGACATTTCAGTTTTATCCGATTCGACTTTAACTTCTTTTAAACTCTCTTCACTGATTTATTGTACATAATATAAATTGAATAAATAATGTTAACTTGTATAAAATATGGTCTGTATATATGGTTTATATATATTCAGAAAATGAAAATTTAAGTAACTGAAAGCAAGTATGTATCTACTTTCACATTCGAAGCAGCACCAATTTGAAGATTGGAGGGGTCAAAGAAACATCTTCTAGCCAATACAACTTCAATTCAAATTAAAAACAACACATGGATATAAAATTCCCTCACTAATATTTAACAATAAAACCATGAAATGTAGTGACTGTAGTAGAACACACTTTTTTCATATCACAGTATGGTAACTCTAAAGGCATCTACATTACATAAAAAGCTTCTGTCTCGTCATTTAATAAGATCCAGTATTCTCTACCTATAAAATATTCTTAAGAGATATCAGAACTGCTCTAGTTTTACATTGTGCCCTTTCTACCCTGAAATTGTTTTTATTATAAATAGCATATGCTACTTCTTAAAATTGGGAAGACGTCAGCTTGTCTTCTGAACACAACTCTGGTAGCAGCATCAAGGGTAGAGTGAATGATTGATGAAAGACTCAAATTGTATTTTGTAGGTATACACAATCCTGCAAAATGCACTCCACTTTTGAGAAGAATTTTTTGCATGCACTGAACAAAATATAACTGAATGACGTTATTTGCAATATTTCAACATAAATCATTACAAGGGACAAACGACATCTAATCCGTCAGAATTTTTCCTCAAACTCCAACTCTACACTGAAATGCAAAGAATTGTAGATTTCACTTTATTGTGAGAAAATACATACAGTTCATTAAATGTTTCATGTTATTTAAAATTAATTATCACTCTTTTTAATAATTAGTTATCAAGTAAAAAATCAGGCTCTTCCTCTCCAATAATAATCAAACATAATAATAGTGTTGCAATTTTGACTCAATACCTATTGTTTGAACACAGTGAAATTAAAAAATTAGTATTCAATTCAAAATGAACAGCTAACTAATAAAACATATTATTTTCACACACTTATGAAACAGGACAAGAACACAATTTAATTTGTCACTACTGAACAGAACCTTTCTATATGTAATAAGTAGATTATATTGAAAAATCAAGACGCTTTGTAAAAGTTTAAAATAAAAATGCATTGGTTATTCAGTAAACTCTTCATTGGAAAATTAAATTGAATTTCAATAAAACTGACTGCAAAAAGTTCAAGTAGTTTATGAATGATCCTTGGGAGAAAAATAATAAATAATGAAACAAAATCTGCACCGCAGAAAGGTTTCCGATTAGAGACATAATAGAGGTTTGATGTGTCATGAAAGGTACATTCAACTCTTCTTGTAGAGGAAGTTCAAGTCACAATCAGTGGGAAAAATTAAACATATTTCAAAGAAAACCATGTAATAAGTTGGCAAGTTCTCCCATCATACCTATATAAACCATAGCGACTCTTTTACGTAAGGAATACCTGTTACTTCAAAAGTTGTAGGATATTTAAACCTCAAAAATACAACTGTTTCCTCTAGATTCCACTATGAAATGCTCAAGAATAGAGAAACAAAAAGTCATCAGCTCAAAATGTTTAACTTCAATTCAAATATTTCAGTCATGGAATGAATTATTGCACCATTTTCCTACGATACATAACACTTGATGTTTAAAATGAAAGAGCCACATATCGATCATACATAACATACCTGAATAATTTCACAGCCTTATGACAGCACAAGCTAACAACACACACTTTTCATGTCCAAACAAAATAAGTTAGGGTGCAATGAAATGGAGGTGTAAAATCAGGCCATGAAATTACTTTCCAATTTAATTGTTCATACTATAAGCATCCAACCCATGCAAAAGCAAGGCACGACCTTGAAGACCAGCAGAAACTCCCCCAGGAGGTAGAACATAAGATCGTCCATCAGTCGCTCGTCCAGGATCCAATTCCACAAGATTCTCATTACTAATTCGCAAATCTTCATAAGACCATAATGCTAAATGTCGACTCTTGCCTTGACGAGCCAAGAGAAATGGAGTATGTGATGGTAAAGCTGAGATGATAACACCAACAACCAGTGCCCAATGGGCTTTATGGCCTCGCCGGCAGCATGGTGCATGATTAGCATCTGCATCATATCTAAATAGTGTTAAGGGTGTACAGCATTTAGAAATAAAACACATGTGAGTAGGTATATACAAGCATGTTATCATCATATTTCTACATATAACATAATTATTTTGAAAAACTTCATCGTTATATTCATATGAACTTTAGGAATCTGTTCATTACTATAACATTATTGCATCCATTTTTGTCGTTCATAAAAGCATCTTATTAATACCATTTTCAATCGAAAGATTTTGTGAAATAAATGAAGTTTGTCTAATTCAAGAGGGAAGCACATAACTTCAAGAGGTATTAATTTTATCTTAATTGTTGTAGAGTTACTGACATACAAATGAAGTGAGAGTTTTATTGCATTTTGAGTGAAGTATCTATTTTAAATCTATATCCAGCACTTAACATCTTACTAGTATTACATAATAACTTTTACTTTATTATTGTCTCTTATCATTGGAAAAAAATATGCTATATTTGATTTATCAGCACTGTTGTATTGATTTAATATTGTATCCAACTGTATTGCGTATTGATCTAGCCTTCTACCCAAATGTAATACTAAGCTTGAATAATGTATCAATAATTTTATAATGTATCTTTTATTGTAATTGTCCTAGAATAGCCATATTGTTGATGTGATTAGAAATAAATCAAAGCACTGTTGAAAACTATTGTTACAAAATTGTTGGTGACTACACAATTTTTGCTCATGAATACAATGCTTTCTGAAAAATATTTTTAGTGTTTACAACAAAATGAAGGATACGGTATTAAAAGTAGACTGCCCAACATTAGGTGATGGAGAACATAGTCACTGTCTTGTCTGAGACCTTCAGGTAATACTTCAACTTCTTTGCAATGTGATCCTAATACTTCTCGAGCTAGTGATGCCATATTATCAACAGAAAACATTTCACCATGATTTGTAAAACCTCTCTTTCGAGCTTCCTGTAGAAGGTACTCCACAGAAAGAGGCTGAGAAGTACATGAAGATGCCATGCTGAGGGCCACTAAACCACACCTGAAAGAGATCCACAGATGCTCAGTAATCTAATCTTACTTCAACACAAAAATGTACACCACAAATGTTGTATAAAATAAAACATACTTAGGACCATCTTGGAGAACTGGCTGTATATAGCAATAACATGCTATTGTAGGAGGCCGTGGAGTACCTTCATCATTCCAAAGTCTGTTACGAACACCTAAAAGCTCCTGTTCTGGAGTTTGTTGACATGCATATGGCACAACATTTACTACAGTGCATGTATGAGTGAGAGTAACAGTTGCACCGTGTGAGGCAAGTTGGGGAGAAAAATTATTAAATAAAATGGGCAATAAAGGGGGGGGAGGAGGTGGGGCATAATACATCGAATCTCTGTCTGATGACATTTATTTTCCTGAGAATAAACAGAGATATATGGAGATTGTGTAATGTGAAGCCAATTCTTAAAAAAGTCACTAAAACGTCATTACTATATTACATCGCACACAAAAATCACCTGCGTAACGACAAATGCACAATTAAATGTAACGTATCTATCACTCTACAAAAATAAACCATCCAAATACGTCTCGTTTCAGATAACTAAATTTACACCTTTTCCCCTAAGCACCTACAATAAATATAATAGGGCAAAATACGAACAAAAGATGGTTTTACGATAGTGTACAAACAAGGACGGTGCTAATGTCAAAAATCAGCAAACCAAACAGGTCAATTCTAGCCTTTTAACCACTTTTAAAACATGTACGATTTAGACAATTATGATTTCCAACAGCTTAGAGAACATACAGCACATTAAAAATCAACAAAACCACTTGAAGTTCCACTGCTAAAGTTGTCATTCCTGAGTCGTTCCAGATATGCCCGAGTCAACTAAAAATTCTTGATGTATAGTGTGCATAAGGGTTGAGAGGGAGAGGGGGTAGGATGAGATTGAATTGCTCTACGTCCGCTGCTTTGTACATAATAGTTAGGTTGGTATGCCACAAAGACCATATCTCCAAAGAATGTATGGCTGACTGTACAAGAGTACCATCACCTCACATGCAAAACAAAGCGTATCACGAACCAAACGCCGAGTGTATGTGTAAACAATATATAAAACTGCGCAAAAGTTGTACTAAATCAATTTATGAAAATGCAAATATAAGTGTTTAAAAAACACTCCGGTGATAGGGATTCTAGTACATTCAGGTTAGTGCGTATTTCAGTTGTTAACGTTTGCACACTTTCCTTTCTAGAGAGCGTTGACATTGTCACTGAGATCAATGTTGCCATCCTAACCAGGTATTAACGACCATACCCATACCCGAGATAGGTGAACAGAGAGTATATGTAGGTATGTAGGTGAACGTCATTACTGGTAATTACCAGGTCATTACTGTGCTAGCTGTGCCGAATGTTAGTAATATTGTAGAATATCGTTTTACGAAGTTTCTTTCTCTAATTTTTGTACATTTTTCATAAGTGGCTTTTATTTCTGTGTATTTGGTTCTTGTTTTAAGTGTGCGAAGTTGTTTGCTGGTTCGATGAACTCGGACTACACTTTATTCATTCCACTTGATTGTGTCATATTTAATTCTGGTTTCGGGTGAAATTTTAATTCGTGACAATGCCAGCAGTTGTGACAGGAACACCTCAGAAGAAAAATGAGGCAATGTGGGATGCTTTAAAAGCTCACATTTTGAGAGAAAGACAGAAAAAAAAACAAGGTTAGTTCCATTTCCTAATTGACATATATTTCCTTTCTTTTATGTTCTTTATTATTTAAGAGAAAAAACATTGTTTCCTGTAAATCACTTATTTGCCATCATAACATATATAGTGAACCAAGAAACTCTCAAATGAGAGCCAGTTTCCTTGTTCGGAATGACAAATTACTTTATTAATTCTAAATTTAGTTAATTAACCGAAAATGCGAGAGTTTCAGAATTTTTTTTTAATTCTATACTTCAAGTGACAGTGAGATTTAATATGAATAGTCATGAATTTATTTTTAATTTATTAAAAAAATAATAAATAACTACTTAAAAATTAATACTTATTATAATAATAATAAATAAATTACTACTACTTATTATTATTATTAACAATAATAATAATATTTATCGAGTCACATATACAATTATAATTGTGTATGATGAGTCAAATATGATATATTTAGAGAGAGTACAATTGCATACAACTTCTTGGGAGCAGTGAGTGGAGGTACATTTATTTTTAGTGTCCAGAAGCAAAAAAAAAGGCCATCTCAGCATTTGATCAAAGGACCAGGGAAACTGGACAAAAAACCTGATAAAGATGGGGTTATTGGCCTAGAGATTATTCGACAATACTTGTTACTGATATATTAAGATATTACAAAGTAGATAATTATTTTTAGTAGCAAATAGTTGAAAATTTAACCTACTTTAATTTAATTTAAAATATTTTAAGGTTTCAAGATTTGTACCATTTCATTTTTCAAAACATTTTCTTGGTATAGTAATTTTACTGCTAATACTTATAATAATAATGATAATGATGATCGTGGTGATGATGACGATAATGATGATAATGATAACGATAATGATGACAATAATAATAATAAATGTAACATATAACATTACTTATAAGCTAATAATAGTAATTCTAACAGTACATGATAACAATTATGGTAACAGCTACATATGATTTTACAGTATTAGCATATCCCTTGATTTAATCTTGAAATGGTGAGGAGGAGGCAGATTATGACCAGATTTTTTTCTATTTCTACACCTACTGCAGCACCTGAAATCACATTGCACGTGATAGTCATTGATGTTTTCCTGAAAGCTATAGAAAAGATTTTCCCTAAGGAAGTGTTTGAGTTTTTTCTTAAAGTTGTACAAGCCTGTCTTGTTTCTCAGATGTATTGGTAATTTGTTGAAGAATTGTATACCTGAAGAAAACATACTCTTTTGATATAAAGTGCTTGAACACATTGGTTGATGAAGGTTACATGCTTGCCTTGTGTTATAGGGGTGTAAGTTTGAGTTAAATTTGTAAACGCGTGTCATTGTTTACTAGATTTTTCTTTACAAACATGATAACTTCATAAATAAAAATACAAGTCAGTGGAAGTATGTTAAGTTTTTTCAAATGAGGTCTGCAAGATGTGAGATCTGTCCTTTTTGTATTTGTTATTATTCGAACGATACTCTTTTGTATTTTGAACGTTTGTTAAGCCTCTGGTGCATGGCTCCATATTATTATTCCGTATTTGAGAATAGAGTGCACATTTGCAAAGTACACTGTTCATGCTGTCTCAATGGTGCTGTTTCTTATTATTATTCTAAGAGCATAATTAAGTTTGCTCAATTTTGAATTAATATCTTCTAGATGAGTGTTCCATTTGAGGTTGGATTGTATGGTGAATCCGAGAAATTTTGTTTTCTGTTCTTGTGTGCTGTTTCCTTCTAATGTTAAATGTGATGAGTATTGTTGTGTTGAGTGAGAATTGTGGACGGGTATTGTGATTGTTTTGTCTCGGTTTAGGATTAGTTTGTTTCAGTGGATTCATTGAAAGAGTTTGTTAATGGCTGAATTGACTTTGTCTTGTAAAGCGTTAGTTGTTCTTTCTTTGAATATTACATTAGTGTCATCAGCAAAAAGGAAAGTTTTGTTGTTTTCAATTATTTATGGCAGGTCATTTACAAATATAAGAAATAAAATCGGGCCTAGTGTGGATCCTTGCGGGACCCCATTTGTCACATTCCTTGGCTCGGAGTGATGACTATTTTGTTGTCTTTTTGGTAAGGTAATACTACAATTGGTTTTCTGTCTGATAGGTATGATTTTATCCAATTGTAAGTAATTCCTAGTATTCCATAAGATTCTAATTTTGACAATAGTGGTGTGATCATGTCAAAGGCTTTTGACAAGTCGAGAAAGAGACCAAAAGGAATTTCTTTTTGCTCTTAATGCCATGAGGATTTCATTCACAAAGGTGAACAGAGCAATTTCAGGTAGGTTTGAGAGCAGTAGAGGATTTTCCCTGAATCCATGTGGTGAGTTATTGATAATGTTACAATGTATCAAGTAGTTTTTTAATCTTTCATAAAACAGTTTTTCTTATATTTTCGAAACACCTGACAAGAGTGAAATTGGCCTAGAATTCATTACATCTTGTTTGTTACCTTTTTTTGTGTATAGGTTTAATTATAGCAGTTTGAAATATGTTTGGGAAGGAGCCACGAGTTAGTGATTTGTTGTATAATTATGTTAATGAATTAATAATATAAGGAGCAATCTTTTTTATTAAGAAGTCTGGATTGTTGTCTATACCAGCGAATTGTTTATTTTGCATTTAAGTATTTCTTTCTCTTTTTTTTCTGTGATGCTAGAAAGCTAGTTTTTAAAGAAAGGTGATGGTTGTAGAGATGTAGTGTTTGGATTTCTGGTTTTTAGTAGTCTACCAGCAATTTCAGAGAAGTGTTTGTGGAATATACTGGCTGCTTCATTAGGATTTGTTATTCTTCTGTGTTCATGGATTAGTTCAATATTTTGTGTTTTGTTATTTGCTAGTAATGTTTTTTTTACAATATTTCTCATAGCTTTTGTTTTATTTTTTCGATTTTTTTATATACTCATCATTTGACATTTGTTTGGCCTTTATTATAACTTTTTTGAGTATGGCTGAATATCGCTTATAGTAGTTAAGTTGACTATGTGACAATTGCATGAGTGTTCTTTTGTGAGATTATAAAGTTCCCTTTTTCTTTCAGAAGAAATTTTAATACCTTTTGTTATCCATGATTTGCTGTTTTGTGTGTTGTTGTTTTTGTGATACTGTAGTGGATGTGGGATATTGAAATAGTGTTTGATGTGGTCAGTGTCAAACTTTAGGTTGATGGCAGATATTTCATATACTCCTGATCATGATTTATTAGTTAATAGTGAGATGAGATTGTTCAGGTTTTTTTTTCATTGTACTTCCTGGTCTCCTTTATTAGGTTTGCTTTTGGTGAGGTGAAATTTATTTTAAGAGTGAATATTTGAGCATTGTGGCCACTGAGCCCCGTATCATTAGTGGTGATTGGGTATGTGTGTTTTGTTTTGTCTAAAAGGTCAGGTTTATTGCTGTTTGGGAGTTCTTTGACTACCTAGTTGGTGTGTCTATTACTGCATCTAGTTTATAGGAGCAAACTAAGTTTATTAGTTTAATTCTGTCATTTTCATGAGTGATATTAGCTGTAATGTTTATATCACCACAGATTATAATAGAGTAATGAGCCCGCTTTGTTAATTTATCCAAGATTAATTCTAAGTTTTAAAGAATATTTTAAGATTTCCATCAGGTGCTCGATAAATGCTTAGGAGGAAGATGTTCAGCTTTGAAATTTCTGCAATTGAACATTCTATGTCTGAATCACATGTTATTTATTTGAATTCTTTTACTTCTTTGGAATCACATTTATTTGGTGTGTTTGGCCCTACAACAGAAGTACCCAGCTAAGTAGAAACCTGGTATTTGTCATTTTTATTTGATCCTCCGAAAGCCAGTGTTCAGTTATACAGATTGCATTAGTGTGTTTTATGTGATATGTTAGCATAATCTCTATTTCATGTATTTATTTTTTTAAGGATTGAATGTTCTGATGTAGAATATTGAAGGTGCTGTGTTTTTCAGTGGTAACTGTTGTAGAAGTAATTGTTTGCTACAGGTCCAGGTGCTGAATAGTTTTTGGAACAGCATGCAGGTTGTAGGATATGGATCGAGAGGGTTTTGAGGGAGAGTTTTGGAAGGATGGAGGGTTGATGGCATCAACAGCATAGGTGGGAGTGGGAGTCACAGGACTAGGGGTCGAGGCTGAATTAGGAAGAGTAGAAGGGGCTGGTGTGGAGGGAGCAAGGACTGGTGTGGGGGGGAGCAGGGGTTCGTGAAAGTGTAGAGTGCAGGAGATGGTGCTCTGAAGAAGGCTAGCACTGAAGGATCCTCTAGGATGTGTGTGGCTAGCTTGAATTCTAGTGCATGTTTGCCAGTAGGTTTAGGTTCTAGTTTTATAATAATAATAATAATTTGACTTAAAATGCACAGGCTTGTATGTTAAAATATTAGAGAAAGAATCGTAAGACTGTAAAACAATACTGACTGCGTGAAACCTTTTATTGAAACCTGTTGGTCACTATTCTGAAATACAGATATTCAAGATGCTTTTCATTGTTCACTCCATCTGTTTTCTTCGACCATGTGTGCTTTATAAGGAAATCATATTCCAATGAAGCTAGTTCTCAAGAATGTTTTTTTGTTTATTTATTTAATCTCAAAGAACAGATAGAAATTGTATGTGGCTGCTGAGGACTGTACAAAGTGCAATGTCTCTGGGTGTGACAGAGCAGGCTTCAGATCATCCACAGCATCTTATCACCTTCAACATGGAGAGGTTCATTGCAAAATAAAAGTCTTGAATGTTTGTATGGTATGTTTTCTTTGTATTTTTCAAGTAATTATTCTCCCCAGTAGATAACACTAAGAAGATTCAAGCATAAAAAATAATTATACTTCACTTTTATCTTCCTGCAAATAAGCATTAGGTGCTCCAATGCTTTTGTTCATTGGGATTCGTCTGTTGGGCACTGAAATGGAGGTGTGAAATCAGGTCATGAAATTTCTTTTCAGTCTAATTGTTCATACTATACACATTCAACACATGCAGAAGCAAGGCACGGCCTTGAAGACCAGAAACTC